GTGGAGAGCTGAAAGGTTGGTTCCTTTCCTGACTGCAGCTCCCCCCGAATCTTGTGGCCAACCGACTGGCCACGGCGGAGATCTCGTACGCCAACCCGCTCCCGGAGCCCGTGGACGACTGTGCGCTCTTGGTGACGCTGATGGGCCAAGGTGTCAAAATCAAGTGAGTGGGGCCACGGAGGAGGGGGCGGTAGGGGTTTTTGACTGGGGGGCGGAAGAGGGAGGGGAGCACCTTCTGATGGAGAGAGCAGAGACACACACCCCCCGAAGCCGGGAGTTGGGTCCGTGGAGCATTGACAGCCCCCCCCAGCCTCGCAACATCCTTTGGCGACCCGGGGAGGCTCTCTCTCTCCCTCTTCAGAAGGCAAGGAAGGTGTGTGGGTGGGAGGAGGAGCCCCCTTTTCATCAGCCACATCCGGGAGGGAGAGGAGGGATCGGGGCCCGGGCTTGGCCGCAGGGGGGCGGGCGGCAGGGGAGACCTTCAGCCCCACGGCTTCTCTCCGAGACGCTGTCCATGTCAAGAGCCCGGCGCGTGGCTGTTCCTCCGGGGCTTCCCCGGCGGCCGGACCCGCTCCGCCAGCTCACCCTCCCCTCCTCTCTCCCCCCCATCCAACCCGCTTTCCCCGCAAACAGCGTGGCTGGACTGGCGCCTGGGGAGCAGTCCAAGATCTACTTTGAGTTCACTCCGTGCAGCGCTGGCACCATGCAGCTCCACGTGGACTTCTCCTGCAACAAGTTCCAGCACGTGAAGAGTTTTGTGGTGATGAACGTGGCCCCGGAGTCCGACGCCCCTTGATCCCGCCTGGTCCAGTCCTGCCCGGCCCGGCCCCCCCATTAAACGTGTTCCCCCCAGCACAAAGCGCATGGCTCCGTGATGTGCCTTCGCCTGCCGTCTTCCTGGGCTTGTCTTGGGGGGGGGAGTGTGGTGCTGGGGCAGACACGAGGCAGGGTGAGGTGTGCTCCTCTGCAGTTTTGGGAATCCTGCGCCCATCAGAGTCATGACCTCTGGCCTTCTGGCCTGGGCATTCTCCGGCTCCAGGATGAAGCCGTTCTCCCAGTAGGTCACTCCTCAGGCAGCCCTCCGCCCTCCCGGACACGGCGGGACTGTGCAAGGCGCACCACGGCCCAGGGCAGGCCTGCCCCCCCCAAAGAATTTACACTGCCCAGCGTGCAGCCCCCAGGGGCCTTCATCCTGAGCCAGGACCGGGGGGGGGGTATCTGCCTTCAACCCCAAAGCTGCCCAGTCCCTCACCCCTCGGGAGGGGGGATGAAGCCCCGCCTGAGAAGCGTCTGGCCGGCCTGGACCTCCACAGACACACCCTCTGGGTCTGGGAGGGGGCCCAGTCACAGCCTGGCCCTTCTCGCCCATTTTTTCCCAGTGCTTGTTTTGTGCCCAGCCTGCCAATGGCTGTAAAAAAAAAGCCTAACTAACACTAATTGATACCAGCACCTCCACAGACACACCCTCTGGGTCTGGGAGGGGGCCCAGTCACAGCCTGGCCCTTCTCGCCCATTTTTTCCCAGTGCTTGTTTTGTGCCCAACACAAATTGATACCAGTGGGTGGGGAAATGATGCGAGGAAAGGTACGTGGTGCTCAGCCTGCCTGCCTGGCTTGAGTGGAGCTCAAGCTGCCTGGAGCCCATGTGGTGTGCCCCCCCTGCTGGGTGGTGTGCCCCCCCACCTGAAGCCCACCCCCTTGGGACAAAGAGAAGGGGGCTCAGAGGGATTCTCTTCCCAGGCCTGCCCAGCCAGGATGGGGCGAGGCCTCTCCGTGCTCTTGGAGGAAGAAGAAGAAGAAGAAGAAGAAGAAGAAGAAGAAGAAGAAGAAGAAGAAGAAGAAGAAGAAGAAGAAGAAGAAGAAGAAGAAGAAGAAGAAGAACTCCTCGCCCCTTTGCAGGCTAAGCAGGCAGCTGCCCCAGTGGTTGTGCTGCCAGGGGAGGGGAGGCCAGCGGGGTCCTCTGTGCAGGGCTAAGGAAGCAAAGCGCCCTGCCTCCATCCCTTTGGAGAGCCACAGCTGCCGGCCAAACGGGAGGACCGAGGGGCCCAGAGGGACCCAGAACTCAGCTCAGGGGAAGGCTGCTTCTGGGGGTCATGGCTACTCATGATCAGCTGGGGGTTGGGCCCTGGTTGGATCATGGGTGGGCACTGCCCCTCCCCTCCCCTTATATATTTATAAATATATAAAGAGAAATCGGGGGCTCCTAGGCAGGCAGGCGCGCCCCCATTCGAGTCCTGCATCCCAGGAGTTCCATCCAGAGAAGTCTCACAACTCCGGGGGGGGGGGCGAGCAGCACATGCACAATGCCCCAAAGTACCTGCATAGGGCAGCATGCAGGTACCAGTGCATGAATTTTGTGGGACACACTCCACGTGTGGCAGACGGGGACAGAACGACCTGCCAGCCTGGCCAGAGCCTGCCGCTGTGGGCGATGGGCCCCACCGCGTTCTTTCTCTTTCTTTAAATGGCAAGCTGGACCGGGCAGCTCTTCAGACAGAGGACTTCTGCTTCCAAAGAGAATCTCGGCCACCCAACCTGTGCAGGAGGAAAGGAGGGGATTTGCTTGCATGCGCACCTGGGAGGCCTGCCAACTTTGGTCTTGGGAAACCTAACGAAGATGCCAAAAGGCGCTTCTTCTCTGTGGGAGGTGGAAAGAGGTGCCCTCAGGACAGCCACCAGCCCTGCATCGGGCCGGGCAAGGGAGGGGACCCTTGGCTGTTGTAACTCTGCCAAGAGGGTAGGTGGGAAGGTCGGAGAGGGGGCGAGGCTGCAGACAGCCTCTCCTCAAACTGACCTGCATTGCTGTGGGGCAAGACGGGGGGCGGGTGAGAAGCACTCCACACAAAGCTCTGAGGGCTGTGGCTCTCCCTGGACCCCCTTGGGCCGTCGTTTGGCAAACCTGGCATAAAGGGCTTCTGAGGCGGCTGCCAAGCTCGTGGGGTGAGGTGGGAGAAGGATCCTTTCAGGGGGAGCGCTGGCACAGCCCCCTACCCCGCCCTGAAGGGCTCCAGCCCAGGGAAAGCCTGGCCCTTATGCCGAAACACTCTTGCGCAGAGGCCACACGGGAGAGGGCCTCCCCCAGGAGGGATTAGGCCCAAGCAGACTCCGCGCCCCCCCCCATCTAGCTTTCAGTCTCCCCTTGTGGTTGACCGGAGGGGCCGATGGGAAGCCCAGGGCAGGGCAAGAGGGGGGTGGTGGTGGCAGCACTGCCCTCCCAGGTAGACTGCCTCTGGTGTGGGAGGCGATATGCGGCCATCCTGACCTGCCGGTAGACCCTGGCAGAACCGGGATTGAGTGGCAGAGTCCTTGCCCACACCACAGGGCATGAACAGGGAGCTGCCCCCCAGCTCCCCCGCCCCAGGCAAGAAGGCCCCAGGTGGCAGCTTGCCCCATGGGCCAACGCCCTTGGCTCGGCTGGCCAGGGATGATCCGGTGGCCTGGCAGGCAGACTCTGACCGTTGCTTTTGCCGCCCCCCCCAACTCTGAGCCTCGTGGGCTGGGCTGGACGCAGCGCAGCATCCTGGTCAGTCCTGCTGCACCTCAGCTCTGCATTGCCAGGATGAGGCACGACCTCAGGTGGAAGAGAGCAGAGAGGAGCAGGGGGGCAAGGGGGGGCGTGTGGCGGTTTCAGAAGCGGGGTTTGCCTTGTAGGGCTGCTGAGACCCCTTTCAGTTCACGCCTCCTCAGCCATGAGGACTTACAGCATGTCAAGGAGCCACAGAACTCGCCCCTGCTGCACCTCAGCTCTGCATTGCCAGGATGAGGCACGACCTCAGGTGGAAGAGAGCAGAGAGGAGCAGGGGGGCAAGGGGGGGCGTGTGGCGGTTTCAGAAGCGGGGTTTGCCTTGTAGGGCTGCTGAGACCCCTTTCAGTTCACGCCTCCTCAGCCATGAGGACTTACAGCATGTCAAGGAGCCACAGAACTCGCCCCCGTTTTTTTTTTTTTTTTTTTTTGGCCAGGTGTTGAGGAAGTGGAAAGAGAGTCCTTTGTGCCAGACATCAGCCTTTGGCCCATCGCAGTGTCCCCTTCGCACGGCAGCTCGGTCGCCTCAGCCTGAAGCCTCTTGCTGCCTGGGACAGTCTCCCAGGGAGGGTCCTTCCCAGGGTTGGCAGCCTGCCCGCCGGCTTGCCAGCTTTCCTGTCCTCCTCCCGGGGTGGCTGCTGCCATCACAGCCCCCAGCCTTGCAAGCAGCACCAGCAACCACAGCCCCGCAGACCGGTGGGCTCTCCAGGTCTTGGGCACCCTCCCTCGGGGCCCGGGCGGGAGCGGGGTGTGTGCGTGCATCTCCTGCTGCAGAGCCACCTGTTGCCAGAGGGTGGTGCTGATCACTCTGGCAAGCTCTGGGCGATCACTTGGGGATCTTTCTCAGGAGGTGCCCCATGTCCTGCCGCCCCCAGTCCTGAGCACCGGCCTCTGAGCTGAGAGCCCACAGGCAGAGGGAAGGGGTCCCCGCCCCGCCCCCTTTGTGGCCAGGGAAGGACGTGGCTCTCCAGTCCAAAAGAGTCTGGAGCTGGCCAAGCAGAAGCCTGCACCACCCGAAACACCGGGGGGGTGTGTGTATGTGTTTCCTGCTTCTCCTCCCCAGGGAAGACTGCCCCGGACATGGAGGCGATGGGACGGGAAAGGGCTGTGGGAGAGCCCCACGCAAAGGGGCAACGGAGGTCCAGGGACCGGAGGAAAGCCCTCCTGCCTGCATGGAACAGGCGGCAGAGTCTCGTGGGCTTTTGAGCTTAGGCCAAAGGCCAGCAGAGGGGCGGGCAGGCGGGCGGGGCTCCCCTTTACTGGCCTTTGGCAAAAGCACCCTCGTCCAACTCCCGTCCTGCTCAGGGGCTCCTCTCTTGGGTGGCCACTGCACGAATGTGGTTCTGCGGTAAATGGACCACCTCGGGTCTCATTTAGGAATCGCCCGGCATGACAGCCTAGAGGGAGGGGATGCAAATCTCAAGGGTGTGTGTTTACCAAGGGGAAGGCCAAGGATGTCATGCACAATCCAAATTCCCACAAGAGCGATAGGATGGTGCCGGTTCTGACCCAAAGAAGCTCAGCGCCTCCTGGCACTGAGGTGGTGGCAGCAGCAACGCGCGCAAGTGCTCTCAAGGCCCAGACCTTCTGATGGGACGAGCACCGGCCGGCGGGGAAGGAGACCCCCAGGCTGAAGCCCCGTTAGGGTTGCTGTCCTCAGGTTATGCTGCAACCGCCTTTTGCAGCGCCTTGTATGGCAGCAGCCAAGGCTGGGTGGGGGGGCCGGGGGCTTCTTCCTACACACCTGGTCCGAACGGCATCTCCTGTTGTTACCAGGAGGTCCCGCCTCTCCTTGGATCCAGCAAAGCCCAGCAGGCGGCAGCCGTTCGCTACCATCCCTTACGCTTTGCTCCAAGGGAAGGCCTGGATGGCGCTGGAAGCAGCAAAGAGGTGCCTGGGAGCCTTTCTCTCTCCCCCCCCTCGCAAAGAGGTGCCTGGGAGCCTTTCTCTCCCCCCCCCTTCGTGGGTGGGTGGGTTTCACTGTGCTGTTCTTCTGCCCCCTTTTCATTCAAAGTGGCACCGTAGCAGCACTCAATGCTCAGTTACACCGTGAAAGGGAATCTACTTCTGGGAAAGATGAAGACCTGCTGTATGGAAAGGCAGGATGGGGCAAACAAGGACCATTGGGGAGCAGCCCAGGAGGACCGGGCCAAAGGGCGCTCTGGCCCAGCCTTTTGTCCCCAGCGGCCGACGGGGTACACGGGAGAAGCCCCTACAGACAGGCTGCGAGCGCAGCACGGAAAGAAGCTTACCGCCTCTGGGACCTTTCAGGGCATGGGCAGTGGCCAGAGCCACACAGCAATCTGAGAACTTGGCCCTTTAGAA